GGCCTGGGTTCGATTCCCGGCCGGGTGACCAGGGTCATTTCTGTGTGGAGTTTGCCTGTTCTCCCCGTGTCTGCGTGGGTTTCCTCTGGGTACTCCGGTTTCCTCCCACAGCTCAAAAACATGCAGTCAGGCTGATTGGACATGCTGAATTGCCCCTAGGTGTGAGCGTGTGAATGTGTATGTCTGTCTGTCTGTCTGCCCGGTGATGGACTGGTGACCTGTCCAGGGTGTATCCTGCCTGCTGCCCAATGACAGCTGGGATAGGCTCCAGCACCCCACTGTGACCCAGAAGGATAAGCGGTTTAGATGATGTATGTTTTGACTGGAAATGATATATAACTAAAGGCTGGTCTCTGGTTTTTACACAGCACTGTACATAAATACATAACTGGGGTCATTCTTTTAATAACAGAGAACCATGAAAAAGCAAGGATATTACAGTTTCGGAACAGTTTCTGTACAGTGAAGGGTTTTGAACCTGCAGTGTTGTGGCTGTGAATATTCGTGAATGCCTCCTCAGGGAACCATTCAGGAAGCACACAAGTTGTTCATGTTTAAGTGGCTTCAGTCAAAACCACAAAACTCCACCAAGAAACCTTCAAAATATCTCTGTATCCCCAACACTTCCCCTATCTTTATCACACGCTCCTCTCCAGTTCTCATGTGTGTTCAGTGTCTCTGCGGCCCGCTGAGTGTGACAGGTGAGAGCGGCTAAATGCTCTGATGTTCTCGGTCTGGCTTTATACTTCACAGCTTTCTTTGCAATGCAATCAGATCAGCCTGTTAGACTGAATCCTCTTAGCTTAGCGTACGCTGTCAGCATACCTTCCAATACTTTCCTCTCCCATCTGTGCGTCTGAGTGAGAGTGTGTGGTGGTGGAGGGAGGACATGTGTGGCAAGGACATAATTATAATCACAGTTTACCGTTCACTATGTCTTCATTTGCACAGCTTTGGTTAAACACCTGGTTGAATCTCTGCTAATGCAGCGTCCTTTGTCCACATGTTGTAGTGTGAAACCAACACTGTATGTCAATGACAAGCTGCCTTCATCCATGATGCAACATCATCTACTCTGTATGCAAAGGCAGTCTAAATAACCTGACTGGATTACAAAAGGAGTCCACACCCGCAAATACTACAGCATGAGGCATGTTTCCATTTACAGACTTCAATACATCAGAGGCATAGCACTAAAAGGAAATTGTTCCAAGAGGAAATTGCGACAATTGTTGATTGTTTAAAGCAACAGATGAAAAATAAGAATAATAAAGCTGTATTAGCGATGCTAAATAGCACAGCTGTCGAAAAGAATGCAGATTTATTTTCAACTAGGTTTATGCAGCATATGTTGTGAGCTTGCGCTCTAGCAATCTGCACATCACAGCACACAGATGACAGATACATACTCACACACACACCAGCTAGACTGGCTATCATCACTGCCTTTAATTAACCAGCATCACAGATTCTATGCATTTAAATTGATCTCATTCTTCTTTTCTTTATCACACTGAAAAAGCTTCTCTCAGACAACAGAACAAAAAAGTACTTACACCAATCAGCCATAACATTAAAACAATCCTTCTTGTTTCTACACTTACTGTCCAGTTTATCATCTCCACTTACCACAGAAGTGCATTTTGTAGTAGCAGTTACAGACTGTAGTCCATCTGTTTATCAACATACTCTGTTAGCCCCCTTTTTTTTACCCTGTTCTTCAATGGTCAGGACCACCACAGAGCAAGTATTATTTGGGTGATGGATCATTCTCAGCACTGTGTTGTGCTGGTACAAATGGATCAGACACAGCAGTGCTGCTGGAGTTTTTAAACACCACAGTGTCACTGCTGGACAGTGTCCTGTGGGCAGCGTCCAGTGACCACTGATGAAGGACTAGAGGCTGACCAACACAACCTGTGCAGTAATAGATGAGCACCTGTCTCTGACTTTACATCTACAAGGTGGACAACAAGGTAGACGTGTCTCAAAGAGTGGACAGTGAGTGGACACAGTGTTTAAAAAGTACTGCTGTGACTTGTACCAGCGCAACACACACTAACACACCACCACCTTGTCAGTGTCACTGCAGTGCTGAGAATGACCAACCACCCAAATAATACCTGCACTGTGGTGGTCCTGTGGGGGTCCTGATCATTGAAGAACAGGTTAAAAGGGGGCTAACAAAGTATGCAGAGAAACAGATGGACTAAAGTCTGTAATTGTAGAACTACAAAGTGCACCTTATGGTAAGTGTAGCTGGTAAACTGGACAGTGAGTGTAGAAACAAGGATGTGATTTTAAAGCTGTGCCTGCTCAGTGTATTTAGCATTATGAGAGTTTGTTTGTTAATTTATGGTGGGGGACACGTAGTTTTACTGCCACTATATATGTAACCATTAATCTGGCCCTTTTTTCTTAAACGTAAAAAATGATAAATTTCTTTGTAGGGGTTCCTCCTTAGCTCCTCTATTATGGCCTCCTTTGCAGATCATTGAATTAGATAGCATGACAAATAACAGACACAAATGTTAATGTATTTTACTCTGATTTTATTTCCATGATTTCCAGTGTGGTTGATCTAGATGAGCTAGTAAACTCTACTTCTCTTTCAAAGAGAAAAGGCTTCAAAGTAAGGTTTAATTTTTGGTATCTACGTCATTTTACTTGCTGTTAACAATGACTAGAAGCAGAATATATCAGTCATCTGTGGGCAACAGAACAACAGCACCACCAAAAGGTAATAAGAAAAATATGAATTGGTGCTGCTGGAGTTGATTTATATTTAGCCCAAGATTTACACAGCCTATCTGTGATTTGTCAAATACGCTGTGACGTATCTTCAGTGTGAATGGCCAGAGCTAACCTGCTGGAGGTTAAACAGGCAGATACATGTTGGTGACATCACAATGTATGAAATGCTCCCTAGATTCCTTGTCCAGTTGGGCTACTGTTTTTAAGACTATGACGTCCAGATCTGCCTTCCTGCAGTCTACAGTTAGTACTAGTTGTAGATAGGTTCAGTTCTAAAATCTGATTGGCTGAGACACACTCAAAATACATTTTTACTTTTGCTTAGAGAGATACGGTCAAATTCTGAGCATGTCATTATATGACACGTTTGCTTAATAACAAGCCTGTATTTATCTGATTTCCACCACTGCAATAAAGCCGATTTCTATTAGCAGCCTTAGGGGATTTACAGTATTACGTTAGCATACAGATATCAGCTGTTGTCATGTTCTGTTCACATTGTATTTGTTAAAAAGTGCAAAGGGACTTTGATATACAGTATGATTGTTCTTTTAGCTTGCTCTAGAGTTAGGTATTGGTACACATCAACGTTTCAACATTTAAGTGTGACCAGCAGCTACCTAGACACCTCATTTGTTTTGTTTCATTGGTGTAGGTGGGAAGGGGCTGCAATGCCAAAGTTATTGATAGTTCTTTTTCTTCCTCCCAGCCAATACTATGACCTGCCATCACTGATGACTTCCATGAAGGGTCCATAACCTACTTTTGTACTTTAAGCCACATTTTTTTTTTTACTTTTTATCCTCTGCTGACGTTTGTGTGATTTTATGGACCAAAAATCGTAGTTAATTTTTACGTAATATTTTTCAACCTCTCTATATCCCTTTAAGACTGATATATGTCAATAATCTCTGTTCTTAAACTTTTTGAAATTCAGTGTGAGTGGGCAGAGCTAACTTGCTGGAGGTTAAGTAGGCAGATATATGTAAATGTTGTGGGTTTGGTGACAGCAGCTTTCCATATATGGACCATATGGACTAGGGAGTGAACAGTTTTGGAGATTTATCACTGTTTACATACTACATCAAACTTTGAAAATGTGTTCATGTGGTTTAAAAGTGTTCACCACTAAAAACTGTCAAGGACTGAATTATTAGAATTCCAGTAAGGCCTTGACCAATTTGTTGAATCTCAAGGCATGGATGCCCACATCAGCATAATCTCTGAATCTAATATTTTGAGCTCCAGCATCTTCAGAGCACAGTCGCTGTTAGTACCGGACACAGAGTTTTACCTTGCGTGTCCTGAGCAGTCGGCTTTCAGAGCTAGTTTAATTAAGTATGAGCTAATTACACAGCAGACTGCTTCCAAAGCACATGGAGAGATCTTATGTGGTCTGCTTCTGTCTGTCTAGAGAGTCTGAGCTGTCTGTGTGTTTTTCTTTTGGAGAAAGTGCAATACTAATTTAATGGGGAAGATAGGAGGGGGGTGGGGGTGCAGGGGCTGGTGCTGGTGCTGGAATTTGGATATAGAAATTAAATGGGCTCTTCAGGCAATTCAAGGCCTGTCAAGTCCAGCATCATACACACAAACACATGCCACAAGCCTAGCAAGCTATTTGTATAAGCCCCCCCAAAGTGACTCCTAAAGACATATCCATCTTCCCTGCTGTCAGAGGACATAATATTCAGCAGAAGACACACACACACACACACACACACACACAATGCACATGCGCATAACCTCACCACACCAAACAAAGACCCTCTGCATATGTTCAGTGGTGAAAAAATACATTTATTGAAGTCCATGGTGAATGTAGAAAAAAGGGTGATGGAGGCTGTTGGCTTTGGGGTTGCTCACAGCACCACTGGTGTACGCTAATACACACATACACTCACACATGCACACTCACACGCTCACAAATGTGCCATCAGTCTTACCACTGCGCTCCACAACGGATATTGTACAGACCACACGATACAGATCCACAGAGACAGTAGATCAGGGCGCCTCTGAGGAGTGGAGCTCACAGCAGTAGTGCAGGATTACGCAGGGAGGGCTGAGTGGGTTGCCAGATTTCCTCACATTTACACATCACACTGATGAGGACCAATGAAGAGGCCATTCAGAATCCAACCGTGCTGTGTTCCCGAAAGATAGAAGCATGAAAATCCAGCCAGAAATGCGTTCTGTGTTCTGAAATGAGGAACGTTACTGAAGACGGCCACAGCTATGACGCTGTATTGTTTTTATCCTCTTTTATTTAGGAGCTGACAAAATACAAATGTACTGTAGAACAAATGGGTGACAACAGATTTGGCATCCAGATTTCCACAGGGTGAACAAGGCCATTAGCCTAGTCATATTCTCTGATTATCTCTGTGTGTAAGACTGCCATTGCTTGTGACTGACCAGTAAGCCATGCAAAGTTGAATACTTGTTAAGTGATTTTTCTGTTAAAAGATGAGTGAGCAATAAAACAAACAAAAAAGTAGTGGACACAGCAGACTGTAGGAATATGAGCAGAAGGCCATTTTTAATTCACATTAAATGCAGAAACTCCAGCTCACACTGCATATTTCCTCGAACACGGCTGATAATTTCCTGAGAGTCTAAAACCCCGTCGTCATGAGGAGCAGTCAGACCCCATGCTGTGATCAATTTCTATATTTGAAACATCTTGTTAAATTGATAAATTTGTCTTGGATTTTTTTCACTCTCTCAAAGCGAACTGAGAGAACAGACTGAATTGAATCAGTTAAACAAGTATTCAAACTCGTCTGGCCTTAAATTAAACAGTGAGGGGAACAGTGGAGAGCCTCACACCACTGTTGTTTCTCCTTTAAACCACCACTCTAGCACCTCCTCTCCACCACTGGGAACAAATGTCACAGTGTACTTGCATGTGACAGAGATGCGTAAGAAAAGTCTAAACTCAGATACTGAGCAATAACCAAAAAGAGGGATATCACTTTTCTTATAATCCACAATTTTCTATACATCTCTGTTCTTGTAAATATCGTCTTCATATTCATTTTAAAGATTGTTAAATAGATTCAAATCACCAACTCTCGATGAGGATTGACAGCCAGCCAAAGAAGCAATGAGGCAAATGCTAGTCACCAACAAGATGTATGGAGAAAACAAGAGCTAGGCTAAAGCTCCTTTTTCTTCCATACTGTAATAAATACCTTGACTTTCACCTCCTCTCACTTCTCCACCACCTGAAAAGAACTCTCTGAATGTAATTTCTGACTGAATAAGTGCAGAAATCAAAATTCTACAGCAGGTCAAAATGTATGTAATGTAGTCTGCAGTGTGTGATGGACTGGACATGGCATACGGTCATATATAGAGCACACGGGGCATATAGTCACATACAGACAGGAACTAAGCACTGCATGGCAGTCTTAAAATGGCCAAAAATAAAACTCAAAAAAAAACAAAACACCCAAATAAATAGCTCTATCCTCAAAAAAGGGTCAAATGCTCATTGATCAATATTGTTCTTCAATACTTAGTGATGGCTTATCATATATAAGTGAATAGGTCACATAGTGTGTGAGTTTTTCTTCTCAGCAGTGACTAGTTTGGTCTGCCTGCTACAGCTGGCTGAGGACTGATGGACCACGATTATGTAATAATGTTATTTGTCCTTCTAGCACCAGAGGTTAACACAATAAGACGTCTCCATGATGACAGGACGGAGGTTCACCATAGAAACAGCATAATTAATACAGATCATCTGCAGTAAAACAACCAGACAGGATCTCTGTTTTCTTTTACTTTGCACACCCATAGAGGCAGAACAGAACTCAGATAGAAGCATTTTTTTTCTGTTTGTTTTGTATATTACTAAGATTCAGCTGTTCACAGTATATAGTAAGCATGTTTGTTAAAATCGTGGAAACACGGATGAGTTAAAATTGCTGGTGATGTTCTCGTTTTGCACTTGGACACTTGGGACTTATTCTAGGTCATATTTATGAGTTGGACATTTTGGGAGCTGTCAATAACTTAGATTAGAGTATAACCTAGCATCTCATGAAATATTTCTTTTCACCAACACTAAACTGATTGCATTTGCATTAAGACAAACATACATACAGTACATTCAAGGACACGCGCACCAACACCCACACCTACATACGCACACACTCACTATGATAACGTTTGTTATCTTGTAGTGATACCATTACCTCTGTGACAAATTGCAAAACAGAGATATAAGATGAGACCTCAATTTGGCAGCAAAGGTCAGATGTTTTTTGTTTCTCTCCATGAGTGAGATCCATCTGGGCAATCTTGAGTGAACTTGTACAATGAGCAATGGAAGAAAAAACACTGAATGGAAAGATAATTAAAACCAAAACAGAAACTCATGAATCTCTAGAATATCCGATTCCTTTTTTAAATCCTAGAGGTGGTGGTTAGATCAGCATGAGGTCGAGCCCTTGAACTACACAGTAGTTTCGTTCCTCCAGGGTCCTGTGCGTATATTCCCCGTGCTGTCAGAGGGGTACAGAAGCCCCTCGTTCACGCTTCCTTTCAGAAGCCCGTTCTGGCTGGGCAGGGTCTGGGGGAAGGACTGTCTACGAGGATGGAGCTCTATGTGGCCATGATGGGTCACCGGTTCATCCTCGACCATTTTCCCACAGCCACAGAGGAAGCTTCCGGGTTCGCCGCTTTCTGCTTGGCACAGAGGAGTGGGTAAAAGCTCCGTCTTGGCGCAGCAGACATGCCTGTGGCACAAGGGGGTGGTGTGGCACATAGGGGCTTCATGGTGCATGCAGGCATGGTGGTGGTGGTGACCACTTTCCTGGGACGAGAGGTGGCAGATGTGACCCTGGCGATCGCAGGTGCTGTGAGGGCTGTCAGTGTGCGAGCTGTGCACGCTGCCTCCATCCACACTGGCTGGGATGTGAAAGGCCAGCTCTCCGCCGTCCCGGTGACGCCCCCCAGGACGCCCCTTAGTCCTGCCACCCTTGGGGCAGCGGTGCAGGTGCAAGGCTGGCCTGTAGCCCTCGGGGTCAGCGTGAAGTAGCAGATGGGGTGAGGGCCGCTCCTCTTCCAAAAGCTGCTGGGTGTGCAGGGCAGCGCAGCACGGGGTCACTGGCGTCAGGCAGGTCACATGATTCTGCGGATTCAGCCCACCTAGTTTGCAGAGGCCATGTGAGTGGGAGTGGCTAAGGATAGACTTCCCAGGGCATGGGGAGTCCAGGTGGCAGTGGGTGTGGCCATGCCCATGGGTGTCCCCATTCACATTGACTTTAGGGCGCACGTGAGCATGCACATGACCCTGGCAGTTATTGCCACGGCGACCGGGGCAGCAGGCACACCAGCAGTGCCAGACGTCGTCACGCTTGGCGCAGTGATGGATAAGCACAAAGAGGCCCAGCGTCACTGAGAAGGCGCCATACAGGCAGCTGAAGATCATATCCAGAAAGTGACCCTGCGACACGGCCAAAGCGCCAAACGTCCACGTGGCCAGGAACAGGAACAATGTGAAGGCAGCGGTTCGCAGCTGAGCCTTGAAGGAGTGCTCGTTGGCCAGTAAAGATGGGTTAATCAGCCCCGGGCAGCCCCCGTGGCAGCGGCCTCCATCACCTCCTGCAACTCCGGGCTCCCCTTGGTGGTGACAGTGCGCCACGTCCACAGCAGATAGCCTTTGCTGCTCCTCTGAAACTGTCTTCAGCTCGTACTTCCTCTCCGGGTGTCGGCGCAGCTGGATGAAGGTGCACAGGAAGTAGATGCAAGTGACCAGGACAATGAAGGTCACAGGGCCATAGAAGGCCCCCAAGCTGGGCTCCCAGGCCATCCAGCAGCTGCAACACAAAGGCACTGCAATTACCCGCATTGCTCTATCACACAGGCAACTGCATTACTAGCACAAAAGACCACAAAATGAGCTCGAAGCAAAACAAGAAATGCCCTTGTCTGGTCAGAGTGAAGTGATAAGAGGCAACCCAAGTTATTTATTGAATCTGCTTAGAACAATTTGTTGGCTATGCCAGAGGCATCTCTAAACAAGAAAACTAAATGTAATTTTAAGATTGAGTATTCAAGAAATTGTTGAAGCCTGTAAAATGTTCAGACCAGTTCTGCTTTTTTCCAAGCACAATTTGTGTCATCGTCGAGTGCCTACTTTCTCATCACAGGACCACTGTTGCCTGGTTGGCAGAAAATTCTCAACCCAGCATTACTGAGCTGTTTAAACACTCCAGCAACACTGCTGTGCCTGATATCCCAGATCAACAACCACTAACACAACTACCATGTCAGCCTCATTGCCATGCGGAGAATGGTCTACTACTCAAGTATTATCTAGTCAGCAGTGGTCCATAAACTGTGTCAGTGTATGTAAATTGTGAACAGAGTGTATTTACTTACTATGGGGTTTGCTCGCCACTGCCGTAATTTTCGATGTTGATGGCAGCCGTGATGCCACAAATAATGAAGGGGATTCCGCCACCAACTAAATAAAACCTGCAGAGACACACATGCAGAAGAAAGAGATGGCATCATGTATTTGGTTATATTATATCAAGAGCTGAACAGGCAAGAGGCTTACAGTAACTGGCACAGAAAAATTCATAGCAACGTAGAAATGATAGAGAATGAAGAATCACACAAAATAGCAATCGATCAAGAAAAACAGCTAGATTTTTTATTGAAACTAATGATTAATCATGCACAGGTATAACTTGTGATCACCAGTTCATTACCATATGTCCAAGTACCTTCCTTTGGGTCACTGTTTCCCTTGGAGTTGCACTTACAATTATAAGAGAGAAAGATAAAAACCTCCATTTCACTGGACTATTCCTCTCCTGCACATCTATATTTTACTTCTTTAAACATCTATTCCTTTCTTATTTTCTCTTTCATCCTTTCTCTCCCTGTCTTGTTTTACCAGCTGGTTCTGTTATTCTATAGTCCTCTCTCTCTCTCTCTCTCTCTCTCTCTCTCTTTCTCTCTCCTCCTCTCTCTGTACCTTATGAAATTCAATTAAGCTGAGTATGTGGTGAGGGGGCTGGCATTAACAGTACTGTCACAGTTTGACAGAGGTTCTCCTCAGATGACCTGATACTTCTAAAACACTCTCACCGTGTATGTTCATCACACACACCACCCCTCCTACACACACAGGTTTGTTTTTACACCCTGTGATGACATGCATATGTCTCACATGTACTATATACAGTACATATGTAGCTACTTTATTGGGTACATTTACCTTGTATCTACACTCACTGTCCATTTTATCAGGTCCACCGACCACATAGGTGCACTTTGCAATTACAGAATGCAGTCTATCTGTTATTCTGCGTAACTTGTTATCCATTTACCCCAATGGTCAGGACCCTGCACAACCACCACTGAGCGAATATTTTTATGGTGGTCACTGAGGATGGCAGTGTGTCTGTGTGTAGCTGCAGAACAGAGTGTATCACACATGCAAATTTGCTGGATCAGACAATTCATTGTCACTACTGGACTGAGAATAGTCCAGCAACAAAAAATATCCATTTAGCAGTGCCATGTGGCCAGAAACAACCACTGTTGAAGGATGACCAACACAAACAACAACAAATGAGCTATCGATGAGTGCCTCTAATTTAAAGGTAAGTGACGAAAAACATACACAGTGTCGAAAACTCAGGTAGGTGTACCTAATAAAGTGACCAGTGAACGTACAGTCAGAGACAAGCCTTCAATTTTTTAATTTCTGGACAAAACAGTACAAGATATACATTTTTCAGGACATACTTCTGAGGAGATTACATATAAGATAATCCACTTGCATGAGGAAGGAGAATGTCAAAGGAAAGTATGTGAAAAAAGAGTGCAAAATTAGATATAGAAAAAATGGGACTCCTGTGAAAGACCTGGCAGACCACCAAAACTGGCACCATCAGATAAACAGTATTTAAATCTTTCATCTTTGAGAAATGGGAAAATCAAGCTCTTGCTTCAGATCTGAAAAAATCCACAAAAGCAGAAAATACAGCCTTCTAAGACTGATGTTTTCTGCTTTTTTCCTAATGCTGAAAAATGAATAACATATACTTTTTGTGACTTTTGTATAGTACTGTATGTAATCAGAATTGTTTAAGCCTAAAAAATAAATACCTTTGCCCTTTTGGTGTATATAAATTAGGCATAGAAAGCATTTAAAGTCAACATCTTCTTGGTCCTGTAGTTGAGCCTTTTTTTCTCTAGTTTTAATAAAAAGTGATGTATTTTTGTCCTGAAAATGTACAAAAACAAACAAACAAATACACACACAGAGGCATTTGCATGCACACACATCTGCTTTGTACACCAGCTTCTGTTTTATGATCCTTGGTCTTTTATTTGTGGACTTCAAACACCTTTTCACTCGTTTTTTCACTCATCGTTTCACAGCATCTTTTCAACACGCCCTTTTTCTACAGCCATTCAAATAGCTTACAAAATGGCAGGCCAGAGGCAAAGCTGCTTTTCAGCTGAAGTTCAAGCCCAACAATCATCTGACATAAATAGACACCGAGCACACCCCGAGCACCTCCTACCCAGAAAATGCACAGTACACACACACAAAAAAACGTTTCAGGCTAATGTCTGAGGACATAGAACATTTGCCTGATGACTAGGACAGAAGCTTCCTCTGTTAGTTGATCCCTATCAAATATCCATTCTGAAGTGGCATTCTGGTGCTGAAATTCCTACCACAGATGATTAGCATGTAAAGGAAAGTGTGCTGGAGGAAGCCTGTGACCTAGTGAGAGGGCACTCCGATAAGGCTGATTTTGTTGGCAGGCCAATAAGCTGCTCTGTCAGAGGGTTCTGTATAAGAGTGTGTGTGTGAGTGGCTTCTGACTGGTGTGTATGTGTGTGTGTGAGGTGAAGGAAATTGATTTGTCTCCAGCTGCTGGGCCTCAGCGGTGGGGTCTTGTGACAGCTAGCATTAGAGTCAATCACAGAGGATCAGCCCAGCACCACCGTCAGCACATTATCTGCTTTTAGAAACGCCCCGTGTAGACACGCTCACACACTGGTTTGTTTTAATACAATGTTGGGACGTGGAGACACAAATTTGTTACATATTCATTACATACATGAACACTACCAGTCAAATGTTAAGATACATCTACTCATAGAAGAGTTTTCCTTATTTTTAGCCTATTTTTTTCTTCATTTTAGAATGAAAGCCTAGACACCAAAGTATGAAATAAGATATAATCATTTTACTTAAACACAGATCAAGAACTTCATTAATTACATCTCCCTGATTATGATCCCTGATCCCTGGCATGTTAGTGTGTGTTGCGCTGGTGCAAATGGATCAGACACAGCAGTGCAGTGATCGAACTCCAGCAGCACTGCTGTTTCTGATCCACTCGAACCAGCGCAACACACACTAACATGCCACCACCACATCAGTGTCACTGCAGTGCTGAGAATGATCCACCACCCAAATAATACCTGCTCTGTGGCTGCTCAGGGTAAAAGGGGGGGTAACAAAGTATATAGAGAAACAGATGGACTATGGTTTGTAATTGTAGAACTGCAAAGTGCACCTATATGGTAAGTGGAGCTGATAAAATGGACAATAAAGTTAGATACAAGGGGGTTAATGATGTAGCCAGTCAGTGTCTATTTAGATCTCTAGATTTTTTTCGTTACTGTACTTGTGAGGAATTTGCTCTTCACAGTTACTGTAATAGAAATACATGCAGAGGTGTGTAGAGTATCTTAAACCCACACTCAAGTTGGTCATTCACCAAAATAATGACTCCAGTAGAAGTAAAGATTCCTTTCCACAATATAAGTACAAAAGTATCAGGTAAAAAACTGTTTAAGTACTGAGTAACTTGTAAAACTGCAGCAGGAAGATTCCTACATCCAGCATCTTTCAGCAGAGGAAGTGAAGACTGTTAGGTGCTATTCTCTTTATTGAGATCCTATTGGTCTATAATAAAATGATATACCTCAAATAAGAGGTGTCACTTAATGAAATGAAAAACAGAATTGGTAACTAAATAAATTAATGGATGGCTGGATGGATGGATGGCTGGATGGATGGATGGATGGATGGATGGATAGATAGATAGATAGATAGATAGATAGATAGATAGATAGATAGATAGATAGACTTATATTGCACATAAATTTACATACATCAGGCAGAAATAAAAACAACAGACACACGTTAAAGTAGGAATAAACGTATATTCTATAAATAAATGTTAATGAGTGAAGCCATGCTGACTGAACAGTAGATTACCTTCCTCATAAATGTGCTTAAATATAAGTAAAAATCCATCAATGTTTATACATGTAACTAAGTAAATGCAACTAGTTATTATTTGAATACATGCACCAGACCCTGTATTCACACAGCTGCAGTTATATTGCGTGGGGCTTTGAGATTGTAAATAAGGGAGATATGGGGTCATGTTGGGGTGACACAAGGTCAGATTTAAGAGAAAGATAGCAACCTGGGAACAGTCATAAATCCAGTATAATGTCGGACTGGCTACACTCTGCCTAAAGACTCAAAGTGTCATTCCATCATTGATGCAATCAGTCTTAAGGCACCAAATGTCTTAGCTTGATAAAACACTGTTATAATGAGAAAAACATTTTGGGCTAGAGTTCTCCAGTAAAGGTCTTTAAACTGGGACACCGATTGTCCTTAAAAAGACAAGCAATGCAAGAGGCACCCTAGCATGAACTGCTCGTTTTACTGCAAACAACATTTTCCCTTGCACATTAGGCACAATCCATTACTTACTCCTATAAACCTACAGTTGTTTTCACAATGTCTGCCAGTAGACTCATCTCTTTGTCTGTATGAAGACACTGGGTCTCACTCTCTTTCTCTCTAGAGAACGTTGACAGTCTGCTGAGCCAGCTGCAGATGCTGACATGATGTAAGTCAGTCAATAGAGGTTTTTGCTGAACAGGTGGAAGCAATGATTACTTCTTCAATGATTATCTGTGCACCACATCCATTTAAGGTCAAGGCAATAAAGTACAGATTAAAAAACTGCTTCTCTTTCACTGCTTATAGACGCTGATTAAAGTGTACAATTAAAGTACCCGCAATTCTTATGTGAAAATCGAAGAGTAAATTAAAGAGCATCCAAAAACCTCTCAATTAGCCATATGTTCTAACAGTCTGGGCAGGAAAAAGAAAGGCTGCCAGGTAACACTCAGCAAGGCAAAATTTCACCTCTAATGTCTGAGCTCATTTCCCCACAGGACTCTCAGCTGAAGGGACTGCTATTAAGTGCGCCCTGCCCACTTTAAAAAGAACACAGGGGCTACATCTAGCACTTGGGTGACCTACTTCCAAAAGAGAGAAAAAAAAGAAACCCCAAAAAAAAACACCAAAGGAACATTGAAATCATTCAACCCAGAAGCTTCTCAAAAGTCTCCACTGCCATAAACAGAGAAACAGGGTCCATACTACAGTAGAGAAGATAATGATATCGCCACATTAACCAGAACAAAAGATAACATAGCTGGAAGAGATAGCCTGCTTTAGCTTTGCTTTAGTTAACAAGCATATGGGTAAAAAAAATAGTGGCGACTCAGAATTACAGTCTGCTCTCTGCACATTTTCTCCATGGGTGGCTAATTTGCATGCTAAATTCTAGCTCTCTGCAAGGCAAACAGAAATACCTTCTAGCTTGTTAGCATAACATCAATAGCAGGTCAATGCGAAGGTTAAAATCAACATCCCTTGTACACAACATTAAAGAGACAAACACCTCTAACACCTAATACTTTCAGTTTAGCAGAACAGGGCAAACAGGGAAAATATCAGCCCTAATCCAGTCACGCTTTTTAATCAATAGAGCAGCACTTAAAACATTCAAAATATTCCAACACCATTCCAAAAGTATCTTGAAGAGAGAGAGAGAGAATGTCAGTATGTGAATATGTGAATGTGTGTGTGTGTGTGTGTGTGTGTGTGTGTGTATGCACGTGTGTCTCTACCTCAGCATGGGGGATCTGGGTGGGTGAGGAGGTGCGTCTCCGTCCTGAGGCTGGGCGGGTTTCTTGGTCACCTGTTTGTAGATGTTCCGGGCTGTGAATCCCAGCCATAGCATAGTAGAAAGGGATGAGTAATGAAGCACTACTCCAACCTGAAGAATACACACACACACACAAGCACAGTGATCAGGCATTATCGCTGAATGGTAAACAGTACTAAAGGAATACTGCAGTGCCAAAAAACAAAACTAGCAGTGGGCGATATACTGGGTCATCTGATATACTGGTTGAAATTCTTTTTAAGGTATTAGTTAGTAATTTGTCATTATACCAGTATGCAAATAAATGCAGATAACATGATGTACAAAAAGTGCAAAACACTGTTTCCCTCACCTCTCATGTGGTGAGTTGCAGCCTAAGGTAAGTTAGTCCAGTTTAGGTGCAGAACCACATTGTAATGAGTTAATGAGGGGAAAAGAGAGTGGAAGGAAAAGCCAGTCTCTTGGGGTTAGGTGTTAGCCATTAGCCTAGCATGGAGACTAACCGGTTCTCTCTGTGCCTATGGCACTTCTCGCCCAGCCAGCTGCTTCAGGCGATGCCGCGGTCTCTGCCTACAAGCGGAGAGGCTTTGCAGCTTCTCAGCTAAAACCGATAGTGTGAATGGCTTGTAATATTTACTAACATTTACTATTTATTATTTTTATTTATTATTTATTATTATATTTACTAATATTTACTAGCAATGTCTGAGTTCGCTGAATAAAGCTTGAGTGTAAAAGATGCACGTATGGGATATAACTTTCTGACATAAAACAACATTCAGCACCATTTTTGCCACGCTCAGAGAAGCTGCTGTGGGCTTTACATACACTCGCCTTTGTCTCATTAGGGTTAGAATGCAGTATTGACATCTGTCTATGTATTGTTCATTTCTGTGTTTACTATTTTGCCCAATAAAATAATTTTAGATTTACTTCAGTGAAATACGGTTGTTATTAACATCACAGGTTTTTCACAAACACTGTATCACGTCGCTGAGACGCCGTTGCTAAGAAATGACTTTGATAGCTGTAGGAGACGCTCAAGCCATTTGAACGTTTTTACTTCTTACTTTGTGCACAAACAGAAAATGGATACTTTTAAGATGACATTTGACCTACAGCCGATTTGGTCAGACTCTGAAGATGAGACTACACTAAAAAACTGTCAGTTGGTCTGTGTGGAGCTGGAGAACGAACTGCCGGCTGTGCAGCGAGTGAGCGGAGCTCGATACTCTGATGTAGCTGCATGTTCAGGAACTATAATTTGGGGGAAGGAATTGCTAACATTAAAACATATTAAATGCCACGTTCACGGGCCAGTTTATTAATTTCTTACTTTATTTATTTAACTGTTGTATAAAAGCAATAGAACACTCAAGGTCGTGTGATCTCACAGCCATGATGTTATTTTGCGATAACACACTCCCTCTCGTGTTCTATTGCTTAAATATAACACTGCTCGCTTAGTGTTCATGTCAGATTAGCTTCTCACGCTGCCTCTTTATATGAGCTAATAAGCTAACACTCACACTGGCACTACCCAGTTTTGAAACTAAACTGTGGACTTCTACTCAAGCTTTTTTTCTCCTCGGTGGATGATGTGTTAGTTAGTCAAGCTAACAGTGAGAACAAATAAATATTTTTTCATTATTTTTATACCTAGACAACACAGGCTAGTGTAGTTAGACTAGTTAGAGATACAGCCATGCTTCACGACAACATGCTCACATTCAGGAGCTCGTTTTTGTATGAGCAAAGTATAATATGCTTACTTAATGAGCATAAATGTCTCACTTTACAGCCATGTGAAAGCATAAAACTGGTATTTCACTTAATAGTCGTCACTTTTCATAACGGAATTTATGAGAATGGTGATTTTTGAATGCTGGGATGACTGCATTTTGCCCTGTTGCACCCATGATGCAGCACAAAATAAAACAACTTGTAGTGAATACTGAGTTGATGTTTTTCATAGTAAATATGCAGTATTTGTATGTCATATTTTAAGTAACTCCTAAATCTGATGCATTTCTGCTCATTTTCCACTTCAGTTTATCAGTCACTTGAGGGTATTAATTTGTTGTCTAAGGTTTCAATTTGGTGTTGATACTGAGGTATAACAGAGCTGGCTTTGTTATTGAAGTCCAAGTTTTGGTACTGAGCCAACACTACCAGGCATATGGTTCCTGTACCACCCTAAACTGCATCTATACAGGCCCACACTTCAATTTTCTCTTACCCACGCAATTTACACATTAAATTAGTTTTATATAGTAGGTACTGAAAAACAAGTCGTAAGATAAAAAAAACAGATTACTAAGCCTGTTTTTAACTGCAACTGTATCTGCCTAAAAATACAAAAATTTAAAGGTTTTGAAGTATTTTGAGCAAAGCAGTCCTATGTGTGATAGCAGTGGGTTAGAATTTGGAATTTTAATATTATTAAATATAATTGACTGTTTTCAAAATGTACAGTAGGCTGTCACATTTGTTGTTATTTGTTGTTGATGCAATAGTGCACTGTTAATATTTACTTATCAATCTGTAGTTTGCAGTTTACAAAAACGCAAAGACTTTTTCAAGAGCCCTGTCAAACTGAAATTGTGGACCAGCAGGTGCACGGTTTCCACCATTTCCTGACAACACTGACTGTCAGCTTCAGCCACAATGAGAAAAACAGAGAATTATCAGCTAGCTCCCATTAACCCTACAATAACTATTCCTGTTGCTGTAACATAAACATCAGAACCAATAAAAAAATGTTGGCATAGCATTTATAATGATGTCATTATGATGTGCTTAAATGTAGACAATTTAAAATGCTATCCTGCTTATATTTTAAGGATATGCCTGTATGTCAGTGCTCATTCTCCTGCATAGAATTATCCATCCAAATCCAAGCTCACTCCAATATGCTACCACCATTCAACGAGACTGCCACAAGTAAGAGGGCATTTTGCATTCCTCTCACACAATCCTGCTCTTATCAGAACAGTTTGTCTGAGTAACTGCACAGTGAGAAAGAGGATGCACAGCTATACGAGTGCACTTGTTCCATATTTACACAAATAGGGCTAATCCCATTCTCGTATTCAAAACCTGTGCTGAGAGAGGGAGAAAAGGAGAAACTTCAGATTGCATTTTTATCTTTGAACCAACCAAAGACATGGACTATATTTAAACACAAACTACGAAATACTTAACACAGCACCTGCCATGAACTCCTTTACACACCAAATATACTGACGGACCTACCCAAACATCCAAAAAACACACACAAAGCAAACATCTCACTGCTGCATTAGGAAGGCCTTTGTCTCTTCAAATGGATAAGCAGTCACTGCACAATTAGTATAAACAATGCAAGTGAAAACCTTCCAACTAGCCTAACAGGCACTCAGCAGCCCCATTCACATGTTTTACCAAGCTTCCCTGGGTGAAGTAAAGGTGCGAATGAGGTCCAGTGTGTCTACCGGGCCTGTTTACACCTGGCATTAACATGCATTTTTTGGTGATTGGATCATATTCGGATTTCACCCAGGATGCAATGAAAGCGAATTGCGATCAGATCACTCAAAACCATTCAGAGGCTGTCAGAGACACTTAACTCAAGTGTTTAATGGAAGGCATTTTTGTTATCCGTTTACAATTATGTAAGCGAAAATGCATATGTTGAGTGCTGACTACCAGATGAGAGAATAAACAAGTCTACATGAGGCTGAAGTTAGACCCAGACCAAGTGCCTTTTTACAATCCAGGCCAATGAAAGCATCCAAGCCAAGCTTGTCAACTCATATCATAATAGGGAAAAGAGTAAACAAAAGTAAAACAGAAACAATGTATGTGTTGACATGCTTTTTACGTGGGAAAAGTACAATTGGATCTCATCTGGCCACATTAGGTATGCATTTTAGTGAAAAGTGTAAATGGAATCCAACTGAAGTTTATCCAGATGCGATCTGAACATTAAACACATGTGAATGCATGGTGTAAACAGGCTCTAGGATTTAATCATTAAACCACTTTCAAAAGTGGTCAAGGGCACATATGACCACATAACATGTGTGAATGCTAAAGCGTCCCAATGTGACAGCAATAAAAGATCACCCAATCAACTGCATCATCAGAGACCAAAGCTGCTGCTTATTTTTTGTCTCCTCTACTCTTTCTTCAGTGTTTCCTCTACTGTAAAATAGGCCCGGACAGCCCGTCCAGCAAAACTCACATGCTGATATGTCTTTTTTTAAGTCTTTTTTAGCTTTTTGCTCATTCATTAAGAAAATACACAAATAATAACTCATAAAACCTTACGGACCTCGCATTGTGCAGCCAGGCTGGAAGAGGAAAGGCTCTTCCCCAAACTGTCACCACAAATTTGGAAGCATATAATCGTCTAAAAAGTTTTTATATGCTGTAGTATTAACATTGCACTTCACTGGAAGTAAGGGGCCGAGCCCAAACCCTGAAAAACAGCCCCAAATCATTACCCCTCCTCCACTAAACTTTACTATTGGCGCTACGCATTCTGGGAGGTAGTGTTCTCCTAGCATTCGCAAAACCCTGATTCTTCCCTCAGACTGCCAGAAAGCGTGATTCATCACTCCAAAGAATACATTTCCATTGCTCCAGAGCACAGTAGCAGCATGCTTTGTACCACACCACTGAAGCTCCAGCATTTGCTGGACCCGCTCTGTAAGTTTGTGTGATCTACTCTTCATGGCTGAGTGGTTGCTGCTCATAGATGCCTCTATTTCACCATAGTAGCATTTACAGTTGACCCGGGCACATCTAGCGGGGCAAAAATTTCACGAACTGACTTGAGGCATCTTTTAATAGTGCCATGTTCAAAGGCACTGAGCTCTTCTACTGCTAGTATTTGTCTAAGGAGACTGCAAGGCTATCTGCTTGATTTTATACATCTGTTGTTTAAGTTAATAATTAGAAAATTGTATTGTATATATTACAAAAATCTCTCGGATAATACAGTCACAATCAAACCTTTCCCTCCAAACAGCAACGCAAAAGTAGATTTAAAAATTCTTGCATGACCATATCAATTTGCATATTGCCAAGAGTTTATTCATGATATACTGTCATATCAACATTTTTGA